GCAGCACACGTATGTGGGTACATATCTGCAGCCGCATCTTCGGTAGCGATTGGCAAGATGCCTACGGGAAACTCGTCCGAAATCGATTTACAAGTCACTGAGAACGGAGGCTTTTTCTTCGCAGGATTTTGACCGTTTCACTCCGTTCTTTCGCCATTTCCCCACTATACAGCGCCCTACTAGCATTTTAGGCTAAGTAGGAAACCATCGTGCCAACTGCCTTCAAAAGCAGACCTCGCGATGAGCCAGCGAAACGTCAGTAGATAGCGCGGTCAGAAACAAAATTGTATGTCCTAGCTGACTTTGTAGTGAAAAAAGGAGAGGATTGTCGGAAGTGCTCCAAATAAGGCCCTACTTGTGCCAGGTAAAAGAAAAATAGTTGATGTGCATGTAGGGCGAGAGGCCAGACAAAGCTGCGAGAGAGCACGCAAACGAGTAAGACAGTCCATATGGACGGTGCCACTCGAGTAACATCTTGCCTTACCACCGCCCTGAGCGCTTTCTGACGTAAAACGTAAACAGGGTTGTTCGTTGCAGTCCACACTCCCTCTTTCTACGAAGATATCAGATAATTATAAGTGATCGCGGGCTCTGCCTTCAACTTTTCAATGACTTCTTTTGCAGTACATGTCACCTGACGTCGCCGCAGAAAAGCACTACTCGCACTACGTTGACTGGTGGTCCTTGGCCATTGTTCTTCATATTCTCATCACTGGAAAGTATCCATATCCCAACGCCAATGCCACTCATCATAGTCATCTCAGGTATGACTTTTTTGACCACTGTATAAAGGCTAAACTTTCTAAGATTTCTGCCTATCCCAATCTGTCGCTGAGATGAGTACTTCGCAACGTGTTGGCCCCATGTTTGTGGGATCATTATTTTAAATGGCAACCTCAGCATGCAAAATCAATCGTTGTAAGGGAAGCTAAACATAACCCAGAAATCCATGTTAAGGGTTGTATGTTTCACCATGTTTGGCACCACGCTAAAGGATTGGAAACGAAAAGGCTGGATACTCCCCCGGTTTATTGTATACTGCCAACATGATACGTCAATGGCCACTTTCCTCCCTTCATTGTAGAACCGGTAGGGTGACCTAAGTGAGGTAGTTCCCGGACTGTATGAGCTTATAAGTCCGATACAAAGATTCCTCTTATTTAGAGTGAGTTTTTCTACCTATTCCGGACTTTTCCGCATGTTTAATGCAGGTAAAGGAAGTTGTACGGAGATTCGGCAAAAAGGGCAGGGTCGATTCGCCTTGTCCGAAAGTTATCGTGCTCTTAGCAGGCCCTGCGTAGCGCCTTTTCCAACTATGGTCACCTAGAGGTGTAACTTGGCGACCCAGACAGGGTACAGCATCGTTGTGTGAAACACATAGGGGGGTCGTACCTTTCCCGCTGGGGAGGAGGAGTCGCATTTGGTCGTTGGGAGAAGGGGGGTCGTATGTGCGTTTGAGAGAAATTTGCTGCGTTGGGAAAATGTTTTTCCTGGTTGCTGACTTTTCGCGTGATTTT